GAGCCATTTTTTGTGACATGCGTAAGTGTGTCAATTGGCTTTGGAGCCATTCGAATTAGATGGTCTGGCGACGGAACCGCCAGCATGATGTGTGTGGGGCATCATACCAACATGCGTAGTGCCCATGTCGAGTAGAGACGGGGTGCCCCTAGGGTTACCCGCTGAAGCAATGGTCTTAGAGGAACCAGTTGCGAGAAAAGAGGGAGTGGTTTTAGAACCACTCTTGAGCTTATAACTGGTGGAGGGTCTACCAGTAGTAGTGTGAGCATGAAGGGTGGCGATTTTAGAACCGCTCAAGCAGTTGACACCAATGGAGTTGCCATTAATGCTTGTAGAGACGGAACAAGGGGTTTGAGTACCCTTTCCCAAGTTGTCATGTGCCAGAGCCCGAGTGTGAAAGTCTGAAAGACAACTCAAGAGATAAATGGGAGTAGCAGATTGAAGAATCTTACTTACCATAAGTACATTCACGAATGTGTGGATGATGAAATCCTGAATTCAGATGAGAGATGACTAATTGGACTTCATAGTAGTTTTTAAGAAAGAATGAGATGAGATACTGGTTTGAGAGCAGACCGAACCAACTATAGGGTGGCTCATCCCCAGTGGAGTCACGAGTTGGTTGGGTCTGGATCTACCTCGCTCGAGCTCCCTCGGGGAACCAGGTTCGATTGACCCCCTCTCGAACAACCGCCTGACCTCACGAACGCGTGTGCGGCTCGTGTGTCATGTGCTGATGGGTATGTCCAACTATGAGAGGATTTTAAAGCGATGAAGGGATGGACTCGAGCACCTACCTCACCACGGTTTGAGTTCGTGGGATAAGCCCAGATGTGATGCTGCTGAAATTTTGTCGACCTATTCTTGAGAAAGGTCAGCCCAAGGTTCACACACGGGAAAGAGAGGGGGTGACTTTAGATCCGAATTACTTTTCTTAAAATCCAAAATACCCAAAATACACTCAGAAATTAGTAAATCCCAGAAAAATTATAAAAAAACTCTTATAAACCCTAAGAAATCAAAATAACCAAACTACCATTAGGAATTCTCAGTTCCAAAAACCAAAAACTTCCAAAACCCAAGGGAAAACTCAGACTGCCCATATCTAGACCAGAAAGTTCATGAGCTCGTCGTCGGGAATTTGAAGGTTACACGAGTCTCTCGTGAGCGGTCAACTTCTTTAGTTATTTGAGGTTCCGCTTCATTTTGAACTAGTAGCATGACCAAGTCTGGGCGAGAGGGCTGCCCTGAAATCAAGCGTCGGTGGTCTAAGAGGGGCCAAATTTCATTGGATTTGGGAGGGAACATCCCTCCCCCCACCCCCTCCCCATGCATTTGCTTTTTATAAGCAATAAAAAGATTGATGTTTTAATTATATGCTTCTGGTTACAAGTTTTGTCCACGCTATTGAGTCATCCAACGTGCACATACGAACACCTTTTAAGGTGACACAATATTCTGTTTTAGTTTGACTAATTTTTAAATTTTAAAATTTTAAAGTATCCCTCAAAAGTTTTAAAGTACAAAATGCTCCATTTATATGTGGAAATTACAAAGAATGTCGATCAATCCAATTTTTTTTGTATTTATTCCAAAATTACCCTCGGTCCGAGGACATCCCGAGATCGAATTTTAATTTTTTTTTTTATACTTTTCATTAGTAGAGCACTACTCTAAAGTTTGAGGCACACTCTACTAACAAAAAAACTAAAAAACAATTAAAATTAAAATGCAAATTGAGGATTCCATCCTCAGACAGAAGGGTAATTTTGAAAAAAACTATAAAAAAAGAGGCAAGTTGACTGACCGTTGTAATTTCTACCTATAACATATCATTTTGTATTTTAGAAAAAAATGAGGATCCGTACGTAAAGTACTCATTTTTATTTAGGTAATAATCTAATTTCTTGGTATAGCAAAAACCAGACATCACGATCAAAATCAAGTACATAGTAAATATATAGCGCAATGAGTAATGTAATAGCAAAAATTACTTGGTTGCACATGCTTCTTAAGGAAATTGAGGTCTCCTAGAGTGTCTACTATATTGGCCTAGGATAATCGAAGTGCACTGCCACTGACTACGAATCCTATCTTTCATGCCCGCGTAAAATATAGATAAATTAATTATCACTTTATAAGAGGAAACGTCAAATCTAGCAATATTTCTATGAAATCTATTCCTTCACCCATTAGATTGGAGACATGTTCACCAAAGCAATAACAAAATAAAAACATCTTTAGTTAAGAAACTCCTGATGTACAAGAGACATGCTCAGCTTGAGGGAGGTGTTAAGAGAGTGTATTGTGGTTTATCATTATTTTATATTTTCATATTACCCTTAAGGGTAATTTAGCCATTTTTATTTCTTTGCACCACGGAACCATTTAGACAACGCTTATGGGCGAAATGGACAGTGTTTTCGCCCATAAGCTCATCACTGTCTAAAAAACTTAGGCGGCATACGGTTTTCGACCGCCACGGACCTAGCAGATCCATAGTGGTACCCGTCACAAACATACTAAATCTATGGTGGTCAAAACATTCATCAGAAATCACAACGGATGGCGTTATCCGTTGCGGGTCCATTCAATAAACCACCACAAACATAACAAGTCCGTAGCAGTGCTAAAACAAGTCCGTGGCAGTGGCTGTAGCACTTCGAGGTTTCTCCGTATGTATTACCACGTATATGTATGTGAAATCACGGATGGCACGATTTACAAATTTTCGTAATTCAATTGAGTCTCTCCTCATTTTCAATTTAAGACTCCGAACTTCCTCAATTCCTCATCATACGAATTCAATTGAGTGTCCTCATTTTCAATCTAAGGCTCCAAACTTCCTCATTTCTTCATCATTGTTTTTTATATTATTATTAATTCGTACTTTACAATTTAACCAAAGTTATTAGCTTGTGCTTCGTAGTTTAACAAAGATATCTGTGAAGCTAGATTTCAAAATTGGTTTTAGTATTAAGAATTTGTTTATAAATATCTCATATAACACGAAGCCCTTGCGCTAACGCGCATCCTTTTTTCCTGCATCAAGCAAAGCCTAGCACGAAAGTCGTTGCGCGTTTACGCATCCATTTTCTTGCTTGTCTTCACTGACTCGAAACATTCATAACAGTTTTCTTAGTATTTCTATATTCTTCTAGACTTTGATCATTTATATTCCCTTAAAAAGCTTTGTGACATTATAATTTTTTTTCTACTAGCCTTTTGACCCACATCATTCCCTTATCAAATTACATTATTTAAAAGTCTTTTCTCTTTAAATTCTCCTAAAATTTCTTTTGAGATTTTTTAATACAATCAGCTATCTCAATCTGCGTGACATTAACTTCTTCCTCGTAATTCTATTTTCCTTCTTTCATCAATTTATTCTTGAATAAGTCAACTTCTTTTTTAAATTCTACTACCTAATTCTTGAACAACATTAATGTCACTCCTCTTCTATATTTAATACGAACATTTTAATACGAACATTTAAATCATAAACCTGTATCATGTGGAGAAAATCTCTCGTGAAATAATCTTAACTAGAAAAAAGTCTATTTGCTTTTAGATTATCCATTTTTGTAAATTATTAAATGTTCATTTTTCTTTTCAAAGATCAAATCATAACAAAATTGTGAATAACACTATCCATCTCATTTTGCCCAAATCCATACACTTGATGTGCTCTTTCATATATTTATTATATTCTCTTGCATAGCCATTTAGGTCTCTAAAAATGCCAGCCGTGGTTGGTGTTTTTTAGACTAGTACATCCAGATCCTCTTAGAATTATCTTTTAATTATATCTTTTAATCCTACCTACAACACATAAAGCATTGATTTCATTAATATCTCCTCTAAATATAAATTTAACTAATTTCATTAATAACTCCTCTCTAAATACAAATTTAATTAATAAAAACCTATCACCTACACTTCATTTTCCTTTAAATTTTGTCAACCATTATCTATCCTCTAATTTTAAATATAAAACATAGGTACCAACTACATCCGTTCTCTTCTCTGAAGTCGAGTCCAATTAATAAGACCGTCATCTATTCTTTTATTTATTACTTTATCTTTTAAATCTTTGTACTTATCTTGTATACTAAAATTTATATCCATCAATTTTCTTCACTTTTGCCTTTCTCTAAATAATTCATTAAATGTTGTGCCTAATTTTTTTAACGTAATATTTTAATTTTTCTGCATCCATATTTATCTCCATCACACGTGCATCCATATTTATCTCCATCACACGTCCGTCAAAAATATTAAAAACATACTTTAAAAAAACCAAAATCCCCTTCAAATATTAGAGTATTCTCCTCACTTTCATTACTTTTAATCTTTTAAAATTTATTTTATGTTTCAATATTTCTTCGTGCAGATTCATATATCTACTATAATATAAATAAAACTCAAAAACGTCACTTTATGGTACCCTCCAACCCAACATGGAGTCCACTGCTATTATTATTTTAATTTTTTTTAAGTCTTTTTTCAGGTAATGAAGTAGGAAAGACATAACCTGACCCCGTTCTTTCTAGGTAGATTAGGCCGTTCTTTCTAGGTAGATTAGGAGTCAGTTTTTTTTGCCGTTCTTTATAAGTAGATTAGGAGATAGCTCTTGTTTTTTTTTTTTCCTTTTTTTTTTTTTTTAAGTATTAGTGGCGGGAATGGAGACTAGGAAGTCAGGTTCCGAAAGGTACACTATAACTGAATGGCACTTTTAATATTTTTTTCTAAAAAATAAACCATAAAAACAATTATTTTTGAATTTATACGATTCAGATAAAATCACCAAATCTGCACCGCTTGAATCTAATGTACAATATCATTAATGCCATTTAATTGAAGAGCATTAGAGCAGTTACATCTTAAATATATTTCACATCTTGAATCCATGAAAAAGCAAAACCAAGGTGGTCTCATGGATCCATGAATTCAGGTATACACAGTAAATCTTTCTATTTCCATTATCATTAAAGGGAGAATGTACCAACTCAAAATACTTCAAAAAGCCAAATAAAATACATACCATCCATTTTAACTCTGGTTACGTACACACTTAGCACAACAAGAAACAACCCTACAAACTAGCAGACCTCATTCTAGTCTAGATCACGACAAGGGTTCAATTACAAACTTTAGGAGAACAAGTGAACTTAAAACAAAGAGCAAAAAATGCAGCAACTTATGATTCCTCAAAATATATCAGACAGTGTAGGTAACTTCAATTCTCCCTTCTTAGAGAGTGGCAAAGTGAATTTCCCAATAATGGGGATGTGCATGGTGAGACCCACATTCCATTCATAGTCCAAGTCCCAATCCCTGCCTATATCCTTGGCTAAACTCACTAAGAAATTGTAAGGCACTTCCACTGGAATATCAATGGTCGTCGACAATTTCGCTGTTATCGGCCCCGGTTCCGGGATTTTACCCGATGCAATCACTCTGCACAACCCACAGAGAGAGAGAGAAAGAGTCCCACAAATTAAGCATTAATATACACCAAGAAGGTTGTCACAAATAAAGTATACACTCTCTGAATGTTTGAGATACATATTTTTCTCCAACTATTTCTCCATGCAAATTCATTTGGTTAACGTAAGAGAAACAATAAATATTGAAAATTTGTCAGCATTTGGGACAATATTTCTCTTCCACTTAATCATATCTTCTCTTCTATTCAATTTCACCATACTTTCATGAGATCCATATTATCTTTTCCTACAGGTAAGTTGGAGGGCAAAAAACAATTAGAGGTACCTGTTTGCACTCTTCAGAGTATAAGAGATCTCACAGATGGGGAGATCATGAGAGTAAGGATTAGTTATGGAGACGGCACCATGAAAAGTGGCCGAGTCCCTGTTAACTTCCTTGAAAGAGACTCCTGTAAGCTCAGCTTCCGGTTTCTTAATATGAGCAACCTTGTCTGCCACAAAACTCTTTGCCTTATCTACCAACTGAGCCATGGCGCCTTTCTCTCTCTCTCTTCTCCCTCTCTGTCTCTCTAGCAACTTCCAGGCCTCTCTAATCCACCAAATTACATGAAAACTGGCTCATGCTCTAGTGGTGGTGGTGGTGTTGTGTTGTCCTCCACAATAAACGTTGGTTTGGACACGAAGATGGCATACAAAGCTACGTGGTGGTGTTGCGTTTGATTAAGGCACGCTTACTTTAGACGTTCACTTCCACGTGCCATGCCCTCGAAGAAATGACCGATTCCCTTGGAAAGAAATGACCTCTTTACCAACTTGGAGCGGGCTTGTTTTATTTTCATTTTTTTCTATAAATCAATTCTGTTATTAAATGTGAAACGTGTTGCAGATTAGAGGGATTGTTTGCAATGAGTTCATTTATTTATTTTTATAAAGCGGTCATAATTCTTTATAATCATTTGATATGAAATTTGATAGTTTGGATGTATCACGAAGTTTTAAAAAATTCCTTTTGAAGTTTGAATTTGGTCAATGAAATAATTGTAGCCACCCAATTTTAAAGGTATATAGTTTCATCCTGGACTTTCCTTTGGAGAACTAATAAAAAAATAACAAAAAATGCCCAAGTTTCATAGGTATTCTTACCGGTTGGTTATTTTAAAGAGTGTGGTTTGTACAAGGTGTCAACCTTAAACCATCCAAGTAAAATGCGCCCCTAAGTTAAACTAAAAGATGTAGTCTTTTTGTCAAAAAACTATGTGCTGACCTGAAAATTTGTTTTTATACTAACTGTAAAATCTAAAGCTCTAGAAATGGTGCATATCAAGTAGATTTATAATAAAAAAAAGTCTTAAAAATGGACGATCCGAAAAATGCTTTGCAAGATACACAATTTTCAATACTTAAAATCAATTTTTTTACTCATATATCTCGATGTCAAGATGATCAGTTGATGAGATTTACAGTGTCCAAATGATCTATTTTGGCTCATTTTCCAGGTGCGCCTTACTTCTACAAGATGAATTAACACTTTATATAAACTTTTTCCAATCTTTAGTCAATGGTATCGTCTTCTTCTTCTTTTTTCAATTTAATTCCGGTGAGCCCTTAGGAGATGTAAACGCACTCCAAATGTTGCTCAAAATAATTTATAAAATAAAATAATTTAAGGTATACTATTTACTGAAAGAAAGACTAATGCGATCTTGCCGGTGATTTTTGTTTTGGGAAAATTTCTCTATATCCCTTATTTTTAAGTTTCATAATTCCATAGACCCAAGATTTCAAAACATATCTTTGGCCATAGATATCCTAAGTTTTATATCTTCTAACCCTTTAAATTAACTTTTTCTTCTTTGATCTTATTTTCTAACCCAAACAAATTATAAAATGACAAATATTTGTTACCCTATATTTTCACTCTCATCCCCAAACTTCTCCCTCTTTCACTCTCCCCAGGCCCCTTCTCTCTTTCTATTCCGTGCATTACCCCAACTCTCTCTCTCTCCCCCTCCGTATTAGCTCTCTCCCCCGTCACTCCTCAAGCCCTCTCTCCCTCTTTCCCTCCCTGTATGGCCCTCTCTCTCTGTGTCCGTATGGCCCTCTCTTTCTCCCTATTACCCCCCTCCTCTCTCTCTCTCTTTGACACTCACTCTCTCTCCCTTGTGTTTCCCCAAACCTCTCTCTCTCCCAAATGCTATAACTTATAACACCCTTATAATTGAAATTTTCGAATTGAAGAAGCATAATAGCCCAAAAAGGATTGATTGCTGATGGGTTCACTTATGGTGCTTTTGTCATGGTCTATGCAAGGAGAAAATGACTTAAGAGGCAAAACAGGTTATGGCAAAACAGGTTATCACTGAAATGCTTGATAATGGACTAAAACCTGACTGTTATATTTATAGTAGTTTGATTGATCGTTTGGTGAGAGTAGAAGAAATTGAAGAGGCTTTTAGTGTAAAAGATAAGATGGTGACCTCGGTTATTCAGCCCAGTGCCATAACATATAACATTCTTATTCATGGGGTATGCAAAAAGGGTTTGGTGAAAGACACTAATAAGCTCTTGGATGAGATGGTGAGGATTGGTTATACCCCAGATTCCATGGCTTATACTTCGGTTATTGAAGGGCATTGTAAGAATCAGAATTTAGCCGAAGCTTTCGATCTTCTTACCAAGATGAAGCAAAGAAGAGTGAAACCATATGTCTGTGGTAACTTATAGCATTTTGATCAATGAGCTTCACAAAGCATGAAATTTCCAGATGGTCTTGACTGAATTTACCAAGCGAACCTTTAATTCTCCACTGTTGTACTTTCAAACCTTAATAAATCCTCAATTCACCATTGAACCTTTTAAGCCCTAGCCAACCTCCTATAAAACCTGAGTATAGCATCAAACAATGAGACAATTGATCACTATTTTAAGCACTAGGCAAAGATGGAAGGTTTTTCTCTTAAATTGAGAAATTTTGAAGTCGTCTAAGATTCCATCGAAAATGGTAGTGCCTCTACAAATGGCATGAATATCTGCAAATGGAGATCTTTGTGGTTTGGAACCTTTGCAAATCGACTTCTCTCAAAGAGAAGAGGGGTTTCGGGATGGGTTTGGGAAACATGGGTAGAGAGAGAGTGGGGTAATCTAGAGGGAGAGAGAGAGAGAGAGATTTGGGGTAATAATGGAGGAGAGAGCTTGGGGAGAGAAAGAGCGAGAAATTTGGGGATGGGAGAGAAAAAAATAAGTTTAGAAAGGTTTGTCGTTTTATAATTTTTTTGGGTTAAAAAAATAAAATTAAAATAGAAAAAGATCGCCTCGAGGGTTAGAAGATACAAAACTTAGAATTCCTATGGCCCAAAATATGTTTTGAAATCTTGGGTCTATGGAGATATGAAACTTTAAAAATAAGGGACATGAAGATATTTTCCCTTTTTTTTTTTTTCTTCTTTTCACCCCTTTTCTTCTTTTTTTTTAATTTTCTTTTGGCAAAGTTCACTTACAAGTAGTTTTATAAAACTAACAAATCCAATATCTTAAAAACCTTGATGTCATTAAACTAATTTTTTTAAACAAAGAAAATCTACAATTCTTATGCTTGGGAATACAAAACCAATATAATTAAATATAACAAGAAACAAAAAGAGAGTGTTGGAGATTACCTCAACTGGGTTTATTACACCCCACTCCGAGTCACCACCATCCGATGGCGGGGGATCAATGATCAACCTTCAATCTCAACTAGGAAAGCAAGTTTAGGCCAAGTCACACCAATAGAACATGAACCCATTTAATAACAAACTCAAACCCAAGTGCATTCCCTTAGTAACCTAGTTTGAAAGAGATGGATTCTCCTTCCTTTTTTCTTTTTTTTTTACTACACCCTAAAACCCTTAGTCACAAATTTATAGTTGAGAGATGTAAGAGAGAAGAACCCCATAGCCTAAAACCTTAGCCCTTTTTTACAATCTGGGAGATAGAGATATCAAAGATGAGAGAGTGAGACATGCCCCTTTTGGGCTTTCATGAGAGAGAGAGAAACTTCCTTAGAAGAGAGATAGAAAGAGACCATCCATTTTTTATAGGCTTTGAACAAGATTAGGGTTTCTTAGGGTTTTCCTCGGCTTTCCTCTTCTTGGGAGATTGAATATGAACCATTGATCTTGGATGACTTGTGGGGTGAGAGATTTGAGTCATTCATTCCATAGATGGGCCATCAACATTATGGAAGGTGTATGAACCATTATCCCCCTTTCCTAAACTATTTTCCCATCAATAGAAATTAAATAAATTAAATCTAATCAAAATATTGTACATACCATAAAATAACACAAGTCTACTCAATCTTTCCACAAATCTCTCAAAGATACATCAAGTTAATATTTAGTCAATATCTTCCAACCATATAGCCACTTGTCATATCACCACAAACGATAAGGATAAGAAAGAGAATAAGGATGGAGCGTGCCACCCAAGGGAGGCACTCATGGACCCTACCTTGTAGAAATATGGTGGGCCTATGTGCACAATAAGCCCCCATGATATTTTTATATATTTAAAATTAATAAAAAAATTTATAATATTATTTGAATATTTAAACCATTGTAAAATCAACATCTTTAATTTTACAAATCCAAAAATTATAAATAAAATATCTAGGGGTTCATAAAAAATCAAATAATAATTCTAAAATAATTTTCATCATAAAACAAACACAATTAAATTAATTTGATGGGAAAAAGATCCATATGATTTAGGAATTAAATCAGCAATTATGGGGCACTCCACCTTCAACTGTGGACTATAGACCACACTTGCTTTGTCTAACCGACCTTGTGTTTCCCATGACCCACAGTCCAAGTAAGGGCTCATTAGCGGGTCACTAAAGTTTGGTCGATGAGCCAAAGGATCGCAATCCCAATCTATGGATTTCAGGTCCTCCCTTAGAGAAGAGTCAATGTCACCTAGACATGATGCGACCACAGCTCCTATGGTACATACGGGTATCTCTCGCACATGCATACGCTTCACCCTGAAAGGTGGCTTATTCATTTTCCTGAATGATCTATTAATATACATGCTGTCTGATGGCATATGGATGAGGCTTTGGCCTCCGTCTCTGTAAGCCATCATCACACACAAGGGTCACACAACCCCTCGGTCACTCATCCGAGCATATGCTCTGACCTCATCAAGGGATGACCTATTAGAACCCTTCTTAGTTTGTTCTCTATGCATAGGTAACATGGGTTTTTCCCAACCGACTGGCTTAGATGGTCAAGCACAGCAGCAAACATCATTTGCTTAGTATGGTCCACGAGGGACCACTCTCCCACTGAGTTCGTGTTCCACTATATCATTTCATTTTAAAAGCACTCATAAGACCTTTAAAGGCCACATTAACCGAACAACTAGGTGCATTAACAATTGTGTCAAAATAAATAAAAATAAAAAATGAAAATAAAAAAGAGAGAATTTAGAAATTTTAAAAAAGTTACATAAAATAAAGGGCAAGCTTTCTATGTTTCTTCTACAGCATAAAACTTATATACTTCCCCTTATCCAACCATCCATTCTGAATGGAAGGTTAAGATTGCCCCAATCACAATGTCATGTCTCGACACTATTTTATTTTTAATTTTTTTTCTATAAACTA